GCGGAGGTTGTCAGAGGCGATGTAGGCCGGGAGACTTCAGCGAAACTCTCAAGTAGCAATTCGCCGACCGGTGAGTTGCCGATAGCGTACACCCGACTGAGCGATGCTACATCGCTGTATATTTCAGCGACGGAAAATTTCGTTGTCTGATCGATGAGACGTTGTCGTTTAGCGTCGACGAGCAAGTCGTATTGCTGAAGAGAATCCATCCCGAACATGGGATTTCGGAAGTCAGCGACGAAGAATACCCATCGAAAAGAACGTCGCTGCTCGAGGTTAAGCGTGCGCGAGCGCTGACCGTGCACGTGAATGCTGATGCCGTTCGCTGCGCGTAGAGAACCAGTCACCTTTCCGGTTACGTCGTTAGAATCACGAGGAAGGACACTGACTTCTGTGCCATTATCGACGAGATAGCGAGCTCCCGTTTGTCGACCTGTGGCGAAGAATAGGCGACTATGTTGATCAGTTACGTCCGTCGCCCCCACGTGCCTTTCGGCCGTTCCCCTGCGTGTTACATTTGAAGGAACATGGTGGGCGGCACGACTTGGCCTGTGGGCCAAACCGCTGATGGTACCAGCAGTAGGAACAGGTTCTGCGCGGAGATTTCGATCGAGTTGGACGTTAGCGACTTGAAGATCTACATCGGTAGCTACTCCCGGAAGTTGTGAAATCGGCTAGCTTCTTGGTAAGTTCGTTGATCTGCGATATCGTCATTCGGCGTAGATCGAACGTTTACACTCTACCCATACTATTCTCCAATTTGGTCGGAGATATCGGCCATTAGCGTCGGTGGTGCACCGGCATTTGCGTACAGGACGTTGCATATTTCACGCGGCAATCTACGCAGCCACAATTCCTTGAGAAATACGTCGTCTACCATGTCAGGTTTGGCTAAACTTTGCATCTTTCGAAATAGCTGCGATGGCTTGAGGTCACGCAACTCCGTTTCGCTCAAAACCTGCTCGTCTGGATGACCGCTGTCGAAGCGAGAGCCGAAGCCATGCGCTGCAACTCATCCGTGCTGTGTGCAAACAGCACACAGTCGTCGGCAAACAGCAATTTACGGATGGTTGTTTCACACACTATGCTTTTCGCTCCGAAACGAGGGATGTTCAGCAACCCACCATCAATACGCTGCTCCGCACGACCACCGTACTCACAGTCAGCGTCTAAAGCACAAGACATTGTTGCGCCTAGGTAAATGTTAGGCAAGACGGTGGCTAAGATACAGCCTTTCTTCACATCAGAGGCAATATCAAAGTCATCCGGGATTTATCCACCGAGCTGCACCCTTGCCCACATACGAATGCGCAGACATTCAATTAAACCTACAAACTTACTCGGACAACCGAATATCATCCACATTGCCTCGCAGACCACGGTGTCAAATGCCTTGGTGAAGTCAACAAACAACGCGTACAATGGCTCTGCATTTCTTCTCCAATCGACGATCCGCGGACACCATACCTATGGTGCTGCGGCCCGAACGGAATGCACATTGCTCTTGCGCCACGTGCGGATCAACAATCTGCGTGACTTGGCGGTTGAGCAGGATTCGGGCGATTACTTTACCCACACAACTCAGCAAGTTGATATCACGATACTTAGTGGAGCATTGTTTGCTTCTTTGCTGTTGTACAGTGGTAGCACAAGAGCATGCTTTAGCTCAGGCGGCACCTCCTCAATCCACACGCGTTGCACCAATTGGTGCAGCGCAATAACCAATGCTGGTTCGCCGTGTTTCAACATTTCTGGTCTGATCCCGTCGGATCTGGCGCATTTGCCGTTGCGCAGCTACGCAAGTGCTCTCTGCGTTGTTGTATCAACAAAACTCATCTTCATTTGTTACTGTTGGAGCCCGCCAACCTAGTCCAGTCCTCTGAACGGCTGCTCTAGAGATAGTCGAAGTGTTTTCACCAGATCTGCAATCTGTGTGCAGACAGCGTCTGAAATGGGATCGAACAGCGTCCTCAGCGGCTGCATCGTGCGTCCATACACGGCTTTCAAGTGGCCAAAGAATACCTTTTGTTGGCGGCGTTCAGCGTAGCATTTCATCTGCTTCACCTTTTCCGTCCAATATACATTCTTGATGCGATGCAGCTATCGAGTTTGTGAAAATCACTCCTCGGAGTCCGTAAGGTCCATCACAGATGCACTAAATGCTGCGTTCTTCACCAGCACAAATGCGCAACTGGTCGCACAATTGTCATCAAACCAATTGGGCCGCTTGTAGTTTGCGCGCCCGATCGTTTCTTTTGCGGTAGCAGTCACCTATTCATGGACGTGGCACCACATGTCACCGACTGATGCGATGCAGTCGATATCGCCTTGGCGAGTAACTATCGTCTTCTCCAGTTTCATCCTCTTCTCTGCAGTACACCTGAGGAAAGAAGGTTATATTTGCGCCGGTTCACGGCGGCTGAGCAATACGTAGATCTATGGAAATATATGTACCATTTGGCGTGCATCAACTAGTCTTCGTTATCTCGGTGACAAGAGTTGAATCCACTGCATTTCGGTGCTCGGATCATAGATTTTTCACCAAACCGAATTGGGAGCTCTCTGTCTCGTCTATGGTATAACAACTCATGGCAACTGAGCATCGTTCTGATGCCCGAAATACTGCACTGTTGATGCAACTTGCCAAATGTTATCTGCACTCCCTGAGCCCACCTCGTCAGACAGAAATCGATCGGTGTTGGGTGTCTTCTGATTACTTTGGTATTCACTCGTGATTACGTAATCCAAGGCGGTGACATCAGTTCACGACTATTCGCTGTGTTCACACACTCCTCGCCAAGCTTAGCAATTGAGTTGCGAGCGTTTCATCACCAAACTCGATTACATTCTCAGTGTGTATGTTTAGTTCATGTACGGCTTACTCTGATTGACGAAATAAATTGGACTAGTGATATGCTACACTTGGGTGGTGTAAGGTGACGGTGCATTTTCAACCGACTGAACCAACGCCATAGCCACAGAGGATTGGACGATACTCTTAACCTCAGTTGGCTGTGAAACAGTCGGTCAGTGACCGGTAGAGGATTACACACCAGCTTTGAGATCTGGAGGTCATCACGGGTCGAATCCGTTTAAGTGTGGGCGTCTTCATGGTATGCTCAGCCCATGCGAGACTGTTGGTGGTCGTGTGACAGGGAAGCGTGAGTACGATGTACTGGTGATGCCTCTCTTTTTTTCCTTTAGCTGGGGACACCTAAGTACCGCATGAGTAGCACCGATTCTATGCCTGCTGTCCTCAACGTTGCAAACAGAATATGTGGAACTTGGCTGCAGACCACTTCAGAGCCTCCACCTGACGGTTTTCTTAACTAGGTGTGTCTTCAGGATGTTCAGCGGGTCAGGAAGAGAATCTTCGACCCTTTTAACGCAGTTGTATGGAGCTACCTAACTTATCTCCCTTTGGTGAGCCCACACCGTAGCGTAGTTCTCTGTTCAAGGGTTTCTTTTGTGAACAGGGAACAAAGTGCTAAAGTGGGCATCATTTTTGCGGGGGATATCACTGTAGCGTTTTATCTAAAACCCAATTTGTCTTGTCTTCGCATTTTTTGCGTCACTCATCACTGCTTACATGCTGATGAGCGGTTCGCATTTCTTCAACCTGTAGTCTTCTTTGTGTTCCCTCTGCTCATTGTATACTTTCTGCTTGAAGAAATGTTTCCATCGTCTTGTATTTTCACCAGGTTCCGGTCTAATTACCGGCATTTTATATCCACTGTTATTATGACTGCATGTAAGGCGTGCCAGCCAAACTCCTTTCCATCTTTTGGTATCAGTACCTGGGACTGTGTAACGATCCACGGAAACTGTCTCCTGAGTTCCCCACGACAAGTGGGGTTTGCTATGGTTATCCTCTGTCTGCTTTCTTCGTCAACTTTGTGATCGACCGTTTCAGACTCTACCGGAGTTAAAGTTCTGCCAGGCAAGCGACTGATAAAAGTTGAGTGTGCGGGCAACATAGCTCTTTTTTGATCTGACGCAGTGGCTATGCAAACACTGCTGGATAGACTGATGCCTAGCACTGAGCGCTTCGACATCTGCTTTGCACATTCAAAATGCAGAATACCGTTTCAGCACTACACCAGTACGCCACCGGTTCTAGCCATTACCTACCAGCCATTGGAGGTGGTGAATCGGTTCACTTACCAAGAAACTTCCTTCGCTTATCATCGGTCCGTGTGGCTTTCCATAGGCTCAACCATGTATGGATGAAAGTCCTGGCTAGTTCACAGGGCAAAAATTAAACGCTTAGCCGTGTTTGACCACCGGTGTTCACGTCTGGTGGGAACATCGGATGAGCAATACTGAGGTCCACCAGTGTAATTTTTGCTCAAATCTTCTGGCGCCTCGCTAGTGTTTTCGATTATGTAAAGTTCTCCATATGCCGTCAGCCGCGTTCCTCGGCTTGCAATATACACGTCGAGGTGTCCAGTCCACGACGTGACACAAAGGTATGAAGAAATTAACTGAGAGTTGGTCAGCCTGGTGCGTGATGTCTTCGTGAATAGGGACCTCAGGATAGCCTACACCAACGGCTAGAGACTCTGTCAGACATGTCGCAGTCAGTGGCGTTCCTACATTCGCTTTCTTGTCTCTGGCCGGTACTTTTCATTCCATCCTTATTAGTCTAACGCACTTTTTCCTTTATTCCCTTTCTTTACATTGTATTTGTATTCAACCTCATTTTCTTGCCTTTGTTACTTATTGCTTTTCTGACGATGTGAGTCGTAGCAACTGGTTCCACCGCACTTCGGTGCCCGGATCATAGTTGTTTACCTGTGTTGAATTTTCCATGGAGCGTGAATGTCCAGGTTACTTTTTGTGGTGTTGTCATGCTTATAATTTCGTTTCACTAGTGTGTCACGTCTTAAGTTTCAACTGTCTTCCTACCGCACGTGTAGTCTTTTCGCTACGTCCGCACAAACCGTATTCGTTCACTTACCCTGCGGATACTATCCATTCTCTCCTCCCTCTTGTACTAGGCGGCCATCGCTGCTAGTTTAAAGAACGATCTTGCAGTCGGAATGCATCACCTGTGGGAAGCACGGGATCGATTGTTGATGGGACCAGCGAAAAAGAAACCGCTGGACGAACACACGAATCGCATCTCCGCTTATCATGAGGCTGGTCACGCGCTGGTCGCTTTGTTAACGCCAGACAGCACCCCTTTGCACAAGGTGAGTTGCACTTATTCCCTTTGGACATCTCTACATTGTTCGTATTTCATTGACACCTGATCCCCCCTGTGGTCTCTTGCCACGCACTGTTTGCTTTCTTTTCAACATTGACTCATCGGTTGGCATAAAATCTTTTAAACGGCACTGAGCCCAATGATAATATCGGACTCCCCATTACTTCTTTGGCGACTGCGTACTCTCTCTGTTTGACAAATTGTGTGTATGTCTCCGGTCGGCCTACCGTTTTGCGCTATCCGGTAATGCGCTGTATTTTGACGATCGTCACAGACGATATTGAATGATTGCTAGCAGTAAAGCTGAATACCAGTATCTCGGGTTGTTAACCGATGTTTCTTTAGTACGCAGTGAGGAAGTCACCTCGATTGGTGATGAAGTGTCTGCGACGAAATAGTTCGGCTCGGAGAACAAACCTAAACCTCAATATTGAATGATCGTCAAGATGCTTGTTTATGCCATATAGGCTCGTATGCACCTGTTGGTACCGCAGCTAATGGCCATTAGAGGTAGAGCGCGCGCGAACAACACTACTTGGGCGGGTCCATCTGCTTCGCTTTCTTTTATTCACTGCCTACATGATTTCGCGAGACGCCGCTTTCCCTCGCTTTTTCCACTGCATGTTCCGGGTAACTCTTTCTCCGGTTTTACTTCATCTTACTGTTATGCATGAGAAATTAACGTCAGATCCTGTGGTTACTTTTGCAATCTTCTCTGTGGCTACATCAGTGCTATCACCTCGTTTGTTTTCACGTGAACCACGAAAAGTTTCACTTTGCCTCCCCCCTCCCCACGGCTCTCCCTAATGTTTAACCTTTCGTCTTGTAGGTGACTATTATTCCACGGGGAGAGGCGGGTGGGCACACCAGCTTTTTGCACGATAAAGATTTCAGTTTCTGGACTCGTTCCCAGCTACTCGCTCAGCTAGATGTTCTCATGGGTGGTCGAGTTGGTGAGGAGATTGCTTTTGGTGCAGAAAAGGTGACCACTGGAGCTGGAGACGATTTCCGAGTAAGTTTATGTGCTGTTTTTTTTATCGCAAATTCACTTCACTGGTTTACTAATAGTCCTGAGAATGGGCTGGTGGCCCAATGGAATAACTCGTCTGTCATTGTGGAGCACACGTCAGCTGTTCGATCTAACCTAGGTGTGACTGACCTCACAGTATCGTGCTGGCTCGCACACGATTACTTGATGGTTGTAGTATGCCGTCGTACTGCTGTTACTCTTTGTGGCAGTCTCCTACGCCGCTTCATCGTCACCCTTGCGTTAAGTGGCTGGCTGGATTTGACGCAGACATTTCGGTAGTTTGTTTCTTTGCCACTTGTCTCTTGGTCACCTCTCACTTTTGTCTAGCCGTAAGCGTGATATTCTCATCATCATACAGGAATCGGCTGAGTTTACCAGCTGTAAGAATCGTGTTGCACGATCAAATTCACTGCTTAAAGGTACCGAAGGACTGCAGGTGGCCTTTCCGCTCTTGTCACGTGAATCAGTTTGTTCTACCAACGATGGTTGTGATCACTTCAGTCTTACGGTCTGCTTCAATCTGATTAACCCATCATTTTACCCTTGATGATTGCGAACTAGGGTTCTTGGATCGGTTCGTCTAGTTTGGCAGCGACGAATGCTGTGCTTCGTCCTCACAACGCAATGGCTTGCACTGCTTGCTTAAATGTGCGTTATCTTTGGCACCAGATGAAGCTGTGTATACTGAACCACAGTGAGAGATACTAGTTTGGTGTCATGAGACGGTACTTTCGAGTCTTTAATCCTCCATGCTTGTAACGCAATGTTGATGTCTGATGACGCCAGTTTGTCCGCAACGATAAAACTCGCAGACGAGTTCTGAACGGTGATCAAGTCGGTTCCTTTGTCAGTTATCACGCACACCGACCCATCTCCTGACCTTGCCTTTTTTACCGGATGTTTCGTGGCACAGGAAGGTAGGCAATCAAGTCGCCAAAGGTGATACTGGTTCGTATTGCCTTCGATACTGATGTCGATATGACGTGCGTATTGCTTGACTCCCGTCAGTCGTCAATGGCTGATTTGTAAGCCTATCCTATTCTGACCGTATATGTTACTGTAGGGTTTACTTGGCTACGAGTCAACATAGCGAAAACAGCAAGACTATCCATCTGATACGTCTTTCACACAATAGCCAACTGTTTTTGGGACAATGCAAGATGTATCTTCCTTGGATCTTAGTTTTTACTTTCAGTCTTTAGGCTCCCTTCTTCTCATAATGGGTGGAAAACAAGCGTTTCTTATTGATATCTGTTCCTTTTAGTAATAGTGTTATCATGTGTATGACGGTGCACACATATAGCAATGGCCCAACAAATAAGTTAGCGCGGTGATGGCCTGTTTGATTCTAGGCCACACCGGAACATTTGGAAAAGAATCCCATCCTTATTACTTTATCCTGATCCCAGAAGACTGTGAGCATGATCTTGCTGGTCCAAGTTTGAACGTGTGCATTCTTTTGAGGTGGTGCTGAATTAACATGTTTCCATTGTGTTTTGACTGAGATTCGGTTTCTGGATCACATTAAGGTACCCAGATGTCATTTAGTTTAATTTATTTTCTGAGAAAATGTCCTAGTTCTTTTTGCTGATACATTATCATAAGGTTCCGGGAACGTGTGACTATTGCTTCTAGAAATGTGTGAGCAACCTGAAAACCTTTAGGGATGACACCTCTTGCACGCTCAACAGATCATGGATATCTTTTTCCACAGACCCCACACTAATCTGGACATGTTGGACTATTTGGCGAAATGTTGCATGACTGTCATAAAGAATAGCGATCTCCACTTGATGGATGGATGGTGTCTTCATCAGTAGTAGCATAGGGGTCGACTGGAAGTGGCAACTGTCTCCACTGAATTCCAAACACATTTACACTTGCGATGCCACTTTCTAACGGTGCATTATCGCCATGCACCACTTTGTTTTTCTCATACGTTAGACGTAATGCGTGGCTTTTTAAGTAAACATACTCAATAACTGATCTGTGTTCAGTGTCGTTATAATGCAACACTCTTTCACGTCGGAGCCTTTAAAAAGAAAACAGTTATTTATATTGAGTTGCAATTTGACAGCATTTCTCTCTCCACCACTGTGACTGTCTTTTTCCTACAAATATAGAAAGCCACTGCGTTGGCACACAGTATGATCGTTCGATTTGGACTTTCTTCCAAACTGGGTCCCCGTGTCGTTGCAGACATGCGAGAAGATCAGCTCGGTCAAGGCACGCGTGATTTAATCGACCAAGAAGTGGACCAGTTACTCAACAACTCATTGGCTCGTGTTCGTGCACTGCTCAATAGTCATGTGAAGCAGCACAAACTTCTTGCGGAAGCCCTGCTACACTTTGAAACGTTGACGAAAGAAGAGGTCGCGGACGTATTAGCTGGAAAGTTGAAGCCGCCAAAAAACACACCTCCTCCGATTGGCACTGTACCTCCGCTCTCCTCCGTTGGGGCGCAAAGTTCTCCAGTTCCGCATGTCCATGCCTCATGATAGATTATCCACCTTGGATCTCTATTTGTGAATGCAATTGTATGAAGCATAACCTGTCTTTCTTTGCTGTTGCTTCATTTCATCGGAATGATTTCCGGTTTTTCGACCGAAATACAGTACTCTTTTGTCCCCAATCAAACAACCAAATTTTTGTGTGCTCCATATGCATCTCCGTTAGGGAGTAATATACACCTTGTCTTTTGTGAACAATTTTACATCTCGGAACATCAAGCAACATTTAACTTCGTGTATGTTATCAAACCTTACTTCGGCGGAATGCGCGACTTCAGGTGTGGTGTGACCGTCGAAGCGAAAGACTCGTCTCTTGCACACTATATCACGTGCGCGGAAGAGTAGCTAATCGGATCCGGATGAACACGCCCTGTGGGACGTGGTCACTCAGTGGTTTCACCCTCATTGTGCTGAGACGTACACGGACTCCACACGACTACTGTGATTTTGACAGAAAAATGGAACGTTCAGCTAAAACTATTTTACAGGCCTAAGCCAAATGCGGTATCGGGTATTTGTCAGGGGAAGAAATTGCCAACCGATAGGGACAGGCGCAGACACCAGCCAACCAGCGAAGCCGAGTGTTCTGAATGCTGTACATCAAACTGCGTTGGCATGCAGATTGAGTATGTGCTCACTGAACACACGTGAAGGTCACTAATCGCATGTTCGTCAGACGTAATTATAAACAGGCATGAATTCATGTGAAAAATCGAATTACCAATCTGGACACTGGGTCACCACGCAGTCTTTAGAGGTTTCGGATACTCGCCGACGTATTCCGGCTGTAAGGGAACACAATAAAACTCGCAAAGACCTCTGGATAAAACTGCATGCTAGCGTGAAGACAGACCGAGGAGCCTGGTGATCTCATCTTGCGTCGGATAGGGAAACAGTGGCTGCCGTTGGTAATCCGTCTGATACGGGAAACAGGCAGAGGAGACCTGGTGTAAACGAGACTGTACAGCATATCAAAGCACTTGGAGCGTTGGGCTGAACACTTTGTAAAGCAGTTTAATCCGCCTGAGTTATCACGTTCTTTTTTGGCATTGATCGCCCTTTCCCCGGACCGTCTTTGTGGATCTGCTTTCACTCGTAAAAGTCGAATGTGAGGTCAGGCGGCTGAACATAAATAAAATCACCAGTCCCTTTCACATTCGGGGGACTAGCTCTTGTGGATGATTTGCGTAACTTACTAGTGAAGCTGTGGAATCAGGAGACTGTGCCCCGAAGATTGGAGCCACTCCGTTATAGTTCCAATTTTCAGGACAGGCTCGCGTTCCGAATGCGGCAGTCATCGAGAGATCAGTCTACTCTCTCTCACCGCTGTCGTTCTCCATCGACTGGCACCTGTGATGCGCAATCCAGGTTTCATCGAAGTCGGCGTTGTATTGGCCACATAATAACAAGAATGGTACGCATATTTCTCATGATCCAAGATACTGTGCCTGTAGGGTCACAGCTCCATAGGTACACAGTTAACCCTGCTCTTGCATGGACGATACACATGTGCAATATTGGGGCATCCGAATCATGTAATAGCGTTTTGATGTATGGTTGAGACGAAAGCCAAGTTTCGGAAACATGGGTGTTTAGATGTTTTTGGGCCCCTCCTGGAATATCTCATCGATTTTTCCCATATGCGTATAGTCATTATGGTATTCAGATCAAAATAACCGGGGAGTTTGTTTTCAAATGTTGCCACATTGTCAGGTGGCCTGAATGTAATTTTCAATTTATTCCACAAACAAATATATATGGCCAGAAAGAAATTTGAGCGAATGCTTCTTGTACCGCTTGGTATAACCAGTATACAACCTTTGTTACGAAGCTCTCAAATTGAGCTATGGATGGTACAGTTCGATTGTGGGCAGATCGGAATAAGTTTTTTCTGTGGCGGGTTGTATAGCCGCAACAACTTTTGCTTCAATCGTCGCATCGAAAGTGCTTCGAGTTGAAGTTCATTGCAGCGTCTTTGCCAACCAGCTTTTTACTAAATGATTTCTTCAGGTGCTCCACAGCGATTCTGTCATTTTTTTCTCATATTACCACATACTTTGCTGCACTATTGGAAAATGGGGCAAATGAGTAGCTTAATAAGCTCAGTTCTAGCATGGGTTTTGTTGGATATATTGAACAAAGATTATCTGGTACGTGCTGCTTGGTATTGGGCCTGTTCTGGGAAGCTTACAGGTGGATGAGCACCTAATTCCAAGATCGGGAGTGGGACGTGTTCATTTTTCAATGCAATAGATCCTTCTGGGATGGAATAGCCGTAAGACATGATGCTTGATTTCCGAGCAGAGAGGTTCATCATTCACATGTGGCACCATGACTCAAGGGAATATAAGTCATCTTGAACGAGCCGTAGTGTTGCGTGAAGCTCGTCACCTCAAAGCTTATGTACGATCTGAATATCGTCAGCGAATAAAATGGTCGAGCATGTCTTACGAATGTGGTGATAATAAATGAATAACTAGTTTGGCGGACTGAGTGTTCGCTGAGCTCGGCACTTTGGCTGCAAACGTTTCGTCACCACTGAAGGTGACATCGTCAGTGCGCGTTTACGTAGCATAGCGACGCGGCTTATTCTCATTGATGTCATTGATATAGATTAGGAACAGCAAAGGAGCGAGCACGCTCCCTTGGATGACCTCATTAGTGATGCGGCGACCTGGTGGCGACAACTCTAATCTGATTATAGTCAAGGGGCCTGGATCCTAAAGGCTTCTAACTTTTGTAACGATCACTTCTTATCTACTTGATCAAATGCATGCTGTATGTCAAGCAACAGGATTATTACTGCATAGCTGGAATTGACAGATTCTTACATGTATTTCTGGCAATGCAATTGGTAGTTGGTGCGCGATCGCTTATCATCAGACCAAAAGGATTGACAAAGTTCATCACGCCGTTTCTGAACAGTTTTTCAAATAACCGGACAATTATTGGAGTGTGGTGGATTGGCCGGTAGTTTTCAGTCATTTGTTTGGTAACTCGTTTGTGCTGAAGTAAGATAGATGTCGTTTTCCATTGATCTGGAGAGTGGCTAGATTCCAGCGATATGTTGAACATGTAGCATGTCAGATATTCCTAGTTTAATGGTACTTGGTGGAATGCCATCAGATCCCAGCTTGGAATATAGTTTGATTGATTTAAAAACTTACTGTTGAGCGGAACATTAGCTCCGCGAACAATTTGTATCCAGGTATATGGTCATCTTCGAGACACATGGAAGTTGCAATGAAGTCACTGAATGCTTCCGATTGCAGCTAGGTCATGAAGTAAGAGACCCTCACCGTCATAGGAGCGGACACCGGTTCCTCGACGCACTTTGGAAGGCTTCCTCGCCTTTTAGCTTGTTTATAAGGCTATATGTTCTTCATTTTTTCGTCGTGTTGATTGCGCATGTTTGAGTCTCGTGTGAAGTCAATCGGATCTGTGAAAAGTCATTTGTCTCCTTGACATGTCAACACGTGTATCCAACCACGTGTGTTCATGGTCCTTCGGACCTGAACCACGCAGTCTGGAAACGCCAACTTCTTTCTATATGAGCGTCGGTTGTAGGTGAGAGTGCGGGAATACCTCTACGAAATTGTTGAGTTCAAGTGCAGCGTACCGCAACACTCAGTGCTAAAGCTTCTCCTATAATTGATTTCACAAACGAACTAGCGTGGATAATTTCTTCCGATTTTCCATTCTTCTCATATGGAATCAAGTTATGGCGAGCGATCAGGTTGTATTGATCACATCTTCATTTTACATCAGTTTTTGGAGCATCGCCATGTTTATTGGCGATCCATCGTATTCTTTGATAACGAAGCTGCCTTCGATTCGATGAATCGATACGCTCATGAATGGTGTGGCCGACAAATATGTAGATTTCATAAATACGCTGCAGTGCGTAGTTCAGCTATAGTGAAATCTTATGGCAAATTGTCATCTCCATCGGCGTGAGGTAAGGTTGTCCGCTATCACCATTTCTTTTGAACTCTGCCATTGACGAAGTCATGGAACTGCGTTCACTGGGCACAGCCTACAATGTGTGGAGCTTATCTCAGGTGATCGACTTTGACAGTTCTTTTACATGCCAAGGAGCACTGGTTATCAGTCGTTTCGGAATGTGCTTTTCACGCTCGAAATGCAAAGTCCTCCAAAACTACACACCTGGTCATCAGCTAGAGGTCGTCTTGAACTTTTAGTACCTAAACAACTACGTTAACGTCTGTAGAATGAACAATGAGATCACGAGCTCGAGCTGCTTTTGCCAATCTCTGCCACCGGTGGCGCCGAATCGACATCAATCACGTTTACAACTTAGCCGTCCGTTCAGCCCTCTTGAACGGTTGCGATGTCTGGCTCATCAAGTCGACAAATATAAAGAGGCTAGCCACGTTCAATCACCGCTGACTTTGCATTTTAGCTCATGTCTATTGGCAGTCGAACTGTTCGCTGGGCTTTGCAAGTTTATTGCAAACGTTTCGTCACTAATCGAGGTGACATCATCAGTTCACTGATGATGTCAACGAACAGTTTGACTGCCACCAGGGCTACCAATTTTCGATCTTATTAGCTCATGTCTAGTGGGAATACCGTTTGAGCAATGAGCGCATCTGGTGTCTCACGTTTGGTACAGGAAAATCGAGTGAACTGGTCGATCTGTCTGACCTTTATTTTGTTAAATACACTTGGGTAGATCGGGAATAAGGATGTTCGGCAGCTTCTCTAGTCGAACAGCCTCTTGACTGCCACATAGCATGTTTCCGTAAAAAGTCGCTCATGCATCACCAACCTACAGTCGCTGAGGCACGAATGGTTACAATCGCTGAACCAGGAGAATTCAGTTGACGTCATCTACTATGACTTCAGTAAGGCTTTTGACAAGGTGAATACTGCATTATAGAACAAGTAGAAGTGAATTCTGTACAACTTTCGAAATATGATGCAAAACCTTATAAAAATTGTCAGCCGTGAAGATCGTTATCGTTCTCATGTGACATTTAAAACATCTGACTCACGGTATTGCAGGACTCACAAATGTGGCATGTCATCGTAAGTGTAAAATCGTTCTCTGAATCGAATAGTGGTAAGATATCAATGTAACAATGTTTTGAACTATTGAAC